AGTGGTCTAAAATTAGAATAGTTACTGTATTTATATTCTAAAATTAGAATAGTTACTGTATTTATGTTTGGTGCATTCTCTCCCTCTTTCTCTCTCTTTCTCTATCTCTCTCTCTCGGCATATGTTTGTCACTATTATTTTTTAATTTTGAAATAAAGTATATAACTAATAACAAATAACATAGACCGGTAGAAGTAGCCATTGATAATCAACAGCAATTGCTGATGTCAACAATTCGCGTGTTCGAATATAAGTGCCGACTAGCTCAGTCGGTAATGGACAAAATCCATAATATTGAGGTCTTCGAGCGAGACCCGCTAACAAAATTAACAAAGACCTGCTCTATTTTTCCCTTTTTATAAAAAAGAAAGAAAAAACGTCACAATTACTTACGTTTTTCTTAATTCCTTCTCTCCATAAATTAGCGTGCTGGGGATGGTATGATTTCATTTTTATTTACTGGATCTTACTTTGGATGTTCATGAAAAGCTATGGTACAAAACATAATAAATAAATCTTTTTCTTGTAGACTACGAACATGTAGAGACATATAATACACTCGAAAATATATTAACATAGTAAAATGAAACGCTTTTGAGATGAATATAAGAATAATCTTATAGATATCTAAGAGAAAAAAGAATAACCCGTGGCTCGATTGGAATGGGTAACGTTCAAAAAAGCTATTTTAGCTATCTCTCTATCTTTCATGGTTCAAAAGTTATGGCGAAGGTTAAAGTTTGCGGACAAACAGACAGGCAGGACAAAAACAAAATATGCCCCAGATCTATTGATCCGGGCGCATAAACACAATATGAAATTTAGAAAAGATAGACATTATGGATTTCTAAACAAAGGTATGGTAGTCATGCACATACATGTACGTGTGCATATTAAAAAATCAGTATCGATAAAGTTCAATTTATACAGCTTACTATGATATCATATTGTATATAGGCGAGTATGATATCTTGATGTTGCCTTAATATATCAAAAGGTAGATAACCATTCAAAAAGTCATATCTGCGAATCCTTATTAGGTCAGTCAGCCTGGTTCTGCTACCACGATGATATCACGGCTCATGAGACAGGATTGGACACTGCCTGCCATTCTTTCTTGTTTATGCTGTTTTTGGCCAACAGGAATTTTTGCCATTTTTGCAGCTTGCAAGGTAATTGGAGAAATGAATTTACTCGTATTTTTAGTGATTTTAGCATTTATATGAATAACTTTTTTTAAGACGAGTTTCTCAATCGTAAGTAGAGTAGAAGCAGCTGTATGTGTTATTTAAGGAATTACCCTCTAGTTAGTATAGCATGCCAGGGCATCAGCGGTAGTGGGAAACATGGAATAATTTGGCTAATGCATAACATTGATGTCCCTGGCATACTATACTATCTAGAAAATGATTCCTTATTTTTTCCATTTTTTTGTAAAAATTGGCGATTTAGACTTTAAAAATGTAGACATAGATTTAAATCACACGAGGATTCCTATGCAAATGTCAATAGTGCTTGCCCACTGACGTCAAACACAAAGACATCTGCGCGAGATTTATGCACATTTTGCCCCCTTATCGTCCGCCTCAGAGACATATGCGCACGAGAGTTGCATGCCTGTAAGCCCCCTTAGCCCTATCGACCTGCCTAATTTACATTTTGGTAGATTATCAAGAAATCGACTCCGTCAACTGTCAATGAGTTATCACAGAGAAAAAAGTAGAAATGGAAATATTATAAAATATCATTCTCGTATACTCTCCTAAACAAGGGCTCTGTTGGTCTGCTTTTTATCTTGCATTTATGATATCATTATATAAAAACGAGTATGTGAAATTAGTACTCTTACCTTTATGACTATGGAGAATAGACAAGAGCTTATTTATTGACTGCCATGTAAGCATGTGTATAACTTAAGTGCAAACTACACAATGTACATGTAGTATATTTATGATAAAACATCAAGCTATTTGTAACAGAAAGTCTTTTGTTATGAATATATGTGGAATAGAATTTCACAAAATCAGATGAGACATAGAATTATTATCATTATTTGAGCACATTGATTGTCTATGAAAACTTCTATACTTGGAGATACATTACACTGAAATAGTATTTCATGAAAGTAAAGAGGACAAGAAAGAGTATCTAAGTATAATTCTACCGTGAAGAAAGAACCAGAAAGTTAAAATGCTTACAATGACATTTACAAATTCACAATATAATTCGAAAAAAAATAAAATCTATGTCTAGCCCTATTTGAGTGAGCACTTTACAATTGGTCGTCCCTAAAATAAACAAATATTTTTTTAGATGGCTGTAATATATGAGATACCCATTAAGTTTTGTTTTATGTCTTACAGTTGTTAATGCAATGTATAAGGGTCTCAAAATGATCTATTTATAATCAATCATAACCCAATCTAAAAGTTTTAAAAAAGAAATCTGTGGTTATTCAAATAATATTTTTTTTTACATTGGTTAGTTTGTATGCGAATAGTTGTTGCAACTGTAAAAAAAAATATAAAGCGAGTTAGGTAATATTTCTTTTACACTAGCTCGATAATTTCCCCGAATATTTGTTTTGTATATCTTCATAATTTATGAAAAATAAACAAAGTCTTTATGACTCTGTTTTCTAAACCGGTTTTTAATTGTATTTAAAAATTAAAAGACTGAAAATGTGATTTTGGAAAACTAAGTATTTTTTTCTAAAGAATTGTATATAAAATGCCATCCTCTGGGATCTCACAAAAAACGCATGATAAGGTTCCTTGATTTTTTGCGAGTACATGTAAACATGCTAAGGTAGTAATTCTTTAATGAAAAAAAAATGGAAAAAATCATATATTATTGAGGAACGTCTCGTCTGTCCTTAAATATTGTTCTATGGGTGTTATAATGGAATAGCAACAGCTCAACACATCTGTACAGTTGATATGCTTAGGGTGTATTGACTGATAAAGAACAACGGCTTTCTTTAGAAATAAAATGAGAGAATAATTAGAGTAGGATGTCAATATTTCATATTAAAATATGCTAAAATTAATATATGAACGCACAAGTAATATGTTAGATTCAAATTATTCATTGCAAATTCAGAATAACCCCTTTTGCAATGGAAGTATCCATAGCTAATTTAATTAGGGCAGAATTATACATAAATGGTGTAAATGTATGTTTTCATTTGCAATAACAATCTTAAGTGTTTACGTTTAGAATGAGCTTTCATTTTCTCCAATTGAATGGACTGGTAGCAGTATGTGAACTCAGAAACACTTTTGTAATCGATTTCTCTTTAACCAACCTGTCAAAGTATAATGTCTTTTAATGGCGTCTTTGTTTTAGACATTATCATCATAACTTAAGCTTAAACTTGAGCACAGAAAATTGCAACTTACAAAATAATTTTCACATTCATCGCTGAAAGGGGAGATAAGGGATATATGTTATATAGGTTTGGACAGTAAGAAGTTTTGAAAAAAATTAATTGTATAAAAATGTCATATATTTTCAAATATTTGTCATTCTTATTCAGGCAAACGCTGCAGCTGCTGAGGGAGATGAAGTAGAAGCACAAGCGCAGTCGAGACTCGCACGTAGCCTTGTCGTCACTTCCGTTGTAATTGGAATTTTCATCATGATACTTTCTGCAATTTTGCGAACAGTTGTGTATTCGAATCACTACCGCCATTGAAACGTATTTGGATATTTATTCATTGAAGACATCTTCCCCAAGCATACTACAGAATAAGATATCTTTAGAAAAAGAATTCTATGACAGCTAGATAGTAAAGTGAATTAAAGCTGAACATACATCTAAAATATTAAACGAATATCTTAAATGTAATATAACTTATGCCTATTTACATTTTCGAGTCTTGTGTAGCTTTAATGTGGTTTTATATTTAGAAATTTGATTTTGTGTTTCAACATATCAAGATGCATATACTATCATGTGTCTGTGTAAAATATTTACACGAAAATAACTTAAGGAAATGTTACAACACAAATTTTCTACATGTACGTTATTTCATTATTGCTGTTATTAATTTTTATACCATATTTATATGTTCACCCTATTGATTCAGGTAATTGATCGCTTTTGTAACCGAAGACACTATGCACTGCTAGATTATGTGTATAAAGATTGTTCTCCTTGAAAACTAACTGTTCAATATTTTTTTTACCTTGCTGACCCAGAGACAAACTGATAATACAGAAGATTTTTATATAACTGATGAAAAATCATGATTTACATGAATGCAATAACACGAGTAATTCGAAATCCTTAAAAATTATGTTTCATTTCTTTCCCTGTCTATATTCGATTTTAATTTTGATATCCTTTGTCTAGTTTTTTGAGTTCAATATTGAGATATTTTATCATGTTACGTGTATACCTAATTACATGTGATGAAAACATTTTTTTCAGGATTTTTCAAATTTCAAAAAACCAACATATAATTGATGCCAAGAGCTAAATGCACTAGAAACCCGCAATTTCTGTTTTGCATCTTTTGTCAGTGCATGCCTCCAAATCATCACATCTAAAAAAGTATTTGCCGGGTGGATTTACTTGAAAAACTTGTTGACGTTATATTGCCAAACTGCACTATTTTGCCATGGAGACGATACCAGGCCATATAAATTTATTAAGATTAATAGTGTTTTTTTTCTAAATTGACAAAATTGATTGAATTGATCATATCATCCATGATTTCTTTAAAATATATAGTGAATAAAATATGATTGACTCATTGAGAATTATTATTTAAATTTGTAAATGCATTTAGTGAAAATCTGTTCCTGTTGACAAGGGTAGGAATTCAAAATAGTTTGTAGATATGTATAAAACACCCATTCGTGGATCTTGATGTTCTTTTGAAGTATTTAGAAGGCTTCTACAGAATTCGATGAACCCATTCTCTTTCTACACTTTAAAAATATTATCGTCCGTCTAATTTTTTTCGTTTGTTTTTTCAATCTATTGATTCTTGTTATTCCATTAGACAAAGGAAACATTTATGATCAGACCTAGGCACAGAGTGATCAGGTACTGGTAATATTGGTCTCTGCAAACGTATCAAATCAGGCAATCAAAAATTTCTAATTTTAGCCACTCCTGCGCGTGTATGATTTTAAAATATTACATTTAGCAATTATAAAAACCAAATCGTCATAAGATCACTTTTTAAATTTAGCAATCATTCATTCATTCATTCGTTCATTCGTTCTTTATTTCCTCCATATGGAGATTTGAATTACAACACATCAATAACAACATATATACATGTACATCATGAGAATTTTGATAATTCAAACATTTTAAAACTTAATTATTAGATGTTTAAAAGGAATTTTAAAAATATATTACCTCCCCCTGCATCATATTCATTCGGTCTTTTCTCATACTTTCCAAATAATGAGGAACATCAATTTCTCCAGTTTCTTCAGCCTGCCGATAGAGGGCGTCAAGCGCAATGTAAATCCCGGTTCTACCAATCCCCGCACTTATTCAAATTAACAAAATGAAATTATATTACGATTAATAACATGTAATAAAATATTTCCACTATATTGCATTTCTTCACTGAAATATGCTTTGTACTTTGCTGCATTTGTTTTGCCCTGGAGACATTTTCCAAGATGACCAAAAGGACAACAGGAATTTTTGAGGTTTTGGAAATTTTTATGGCCTTAGCAAGAATCTAAAAAGCGTCCGATATTACAAGTTTGTTTATTTTATACCTGCAATGTACTAATGTATATTTTCCCCGGTATATTCTAGACATCTTCATCACGTGACGATGAAATATCACGAGACTTAGTGGTTCTGGGGCACCATGAACAGGCCACTGCGTGAAGTGGAACATGATGACGTCACGTTTCGAATTGTTCTGTTAAATATAATACTTATAAAGTTACTAATAAATGATGCACACTTAAGCTAGATAAGAGTTTTTCATCAATACCTTTTGATGACATACAATATATACATGTTTTGGTACATGTAAATCAATTACATAACAAAGGTTAAAGGAATATACTAGGAATAATACGTATCTGGGTTAACAATCACAATAACATTATACATGTATACTTACAGAGATGTTCTGGATCCAAAATCTTCTGACTATGTAGTTAGCATATACTTTTTCATCTCGGTGTTGAACAGACAAATAACCATTTTGTATTCTACTATTTGCATTTGGCCAATAAAGTGCACATTTTGCCTAAAAGGATAATTTGTTGGTATGAATATTTATATCTTAGAATAAATAAACATAAACATGATGCAACATTACACCATATAGTTAAAGCTGAACGCGACTCGTAAAAAGCCATACACCATTTTCGATGCTACTTGCTACGATATCAGCACCGGGTTTTATCATTCCCATTGATTTGTAACACATTACTGCTTTATTGTCACGGGCATTGGTGTGGAATCACGACACTTGTTCACGCTGGCTATCTCACATTACTTTTGTTTACATTTTAAATCAGTTACGTATATTTCAGTTGGTTGGTATCCTGCATTGACCTATAAAACCGTTGGAAGTTTCCTTGGTATACTCCCCTGCAGTAGAAGAGGTACAGTTATATTTTGTCGCTACTAAATGCTGTTTAGCATATGCCAGGTTACACAGGTAACACCTGATTACACTGAGCAATGATCAAGGCAGCAGCTTTATATAGGGGTCCTAAATATAGCGAGAAACAAATAAAATATGACAGATAAATGCCTTTTATGAATCGTGTTCTGGTTTTAAAAGTATGTATCATACGAAAGTCGGCTTAACGTTTCATTATTCTATACCTTTATACCATCCTTTAAATTAGTTAAACAAACAATTATTGAAACGTTTTCCTGCGAAACCATTCTCCAGAAGTCGGTAAATGTCTTTGGTTTTGGCCCTAAACGAAATGAAGAGTAATCGGATATATATACACAATATTTTTTACATTGATCAATAATTAACAAAAAATGAAAATAAAAGAATCTTAATCATCCATCAGATCCAGAGAACAAATCATTTCTCTCATGCAGTTTACCTTGTGTGGCAATGTAAGCTTTTTGTCCTTGAACGTCCTTCAATTAAAAAGAAAATATGATTGTATTGCTTTACTAAAGGTTTGATCTTATGATTATGTATTATTTGCCATTTATCCTTTGAAATCTTACCTTTACGTAATTTGCATTTATATAGTCCGATTCCCCTGGACAAGATTTCTTAAGAATAACTCTGGAATGGTCGTCTATAATAACATCTAATTATTTTTTTTATAATATATAATATCGTAATGTTACAATGACATATTTATGTTTAACATAATAACGTAATGTAATTACAGCCAGAATGATACATTTTAAAAGTTTTTATTTTAATTTTGAATATTTCCTCTAAAAATAGAAAATAATATAGGGACATTCAAAAGGAGAAAATTCCTTAATCAATATATGCTTCCTAACAAAGGAGAAAGGAGTTAACTTCATAATCTTTCACCTAAATGTAAAATTTTTATATCGATTCCAAGTTTAGGAAAGAATTTTATCAAATATTTGAAGTAATGGCAATAACATACTTACATGGTAAAGCAGACAGGAATCGATTTTTGGGAACATTTTCAACCTTTTTCCATTCGGTACATGGATACAATTCTCCTTTTGGTATTTTCTTAGATTAGAACAAAAAAAAAAAAAAAAAAAAAAAAAATTTACCAAAAATAGTCTTTCAATTTTAGCCATCAAATTATGGAAGATATGTTTTGCAAGAGAGTTGTAAAAATTACTTAATAATTGGATATGATTAGTTTTGAATGTTATATCATTAATGTTCTCTTTATTTCTTCTTCGTTGGTGTTATGATTGATTTCCTTCTTTCAACATATGGAAGGGGTTTGATAAAAGTAAATATCAGCTGAAATATATTTTGATTACACACCTCATATTCACTTTTAAATGAAACATTCTCGCTGACTGGCATAGATTCAATGATGGCTTGTAATTCAAAAATCTTCAGGGTATTGTGTCTTGGAGAATGTGTTTTTTCCAAAGAATTTGTTATATAAACAGGGTTATCAAAGCCATCTATTTCATTTTCTTCAAATCCTACAAAAGTCAGATAACATATTTCATATTAACTTTTAATTTCTAGACTGATACATCTTTAATTTCCTGGATTAAGTTTATTTAAAAACGCCCATGTCGATAATCGAAAAAAAAAACCCAGTGCATATTGATATTCTAAAATATGCTAAACATCTGCATATTTCCTTATTTGAAAGAAATTTAGAGCCTTTTTGAATATAATGTTCCAGCTTAAAATTTCCTTCACAAATTGCAACTATCTTTTATTGTGTGGAATACTTAACCGTTTAAATTCAATGATCCCGAACCTTGTTGTTGATTTGCAGTGTATCTCTCTTTGGTGTTTCTTCTCCGTCTGAAAAAAACAATTGTTAGTTTGGAATCGTCTTATATACCTACATTTAATTTTTCAGACATGATTGGCCTACTCTATAATTTTACCATAAGTAATGTATTTAACAAAACATTCCGTAATAACCAATAAATTTTATTAAACTTTAACTTTAACAATAAAGAAATATTGCACTTTAAATTGCTAAGGTTAATTTGCGGGAAGGCAACGAGCGAGACATGACAAATAAAGATAAACCAAGACATGGACAAGAAAAACTGGCTAAATAAACTTTACAACTGTATCCATTCAATACATGTATATAACAAAAAAGTAATTATATCATAATAATACAGTACCTAATAATGATTATGATTGTGATTGTAACAGCACCAATAAAAATGATGCTTGTAGCTAATGATCCAGCCAAAACACCTTTATCTGCATCAGTTATCCTTGAGTCTGCTATTTTCAAATTCAATGCTAAAATAGATTTTTAAAATTACATTTTCTACGAAAATTAACTTTGTATTTGTAATTTTGCATTCATAAACAAAGACATAAAAAACATCAGAATCAATTTGTTTGAGCAGAATTGTATAGACGGCGACAGTTAACATGCATCACATTTAAAAATATTGTATAATTGGAGTTCCAGGGACATAGCAACAGGGGGGGAGGGTGGCCCCCCCACTTTTTCCCCCAGTATTACCTTTACTATAGAAAATCTTCATTGAAAGGATGGTTGGCCCCCCACTTTTTACCATAGTATATTGATATCAAGGAGTTGTAGAAAAAAATTTGGATGTGAAAGTAATTTGGCTTTGAAAAAGTTGACCGCTACTGTCCAGTGCTCCGTGACGTACTCCAACGTCATGTTTTGCCATGGTGTCATTCAAAAGAGCTTAATTAAGTGAAAGTTGATAGACAAAATGACAGGCCAAAAACAATATCAGCCCCGATCTATCAATCCGGGCGCATAAGAATCCTAGATTACCTTCTTCTGAACAATTGAATCCCTCCCATCCTGGTTCACAACCATTTGTGCACCCACCCTGTGTGTTTTCACACGATTTCAATCTACAGTTGCGGTTACACACACTAGAACAATTTCGCCCGAACCGTCCCGTTATGCAAGCTTTAGGGCAAAGATAGTAAATTTAAAGCACGTTTAAAAAAATAGGAAAACAAAAAGATTTCACATTCTTGAAGTACATATGTGTTTAAAGGAATCAGATTAATACGATTTCTATTCTTTATTTTTCTTTTTTTTTATTGAAAAGTATCAGTCGATTGATAATGGGATAACATACTTTGTTCACATCTTTGACCCATGTATCCGTCTTCACATCCCTGAATACAAATCCCGTTGCCAGCGTTACATGCACTATTTAGACAGTTTAAGCATCTATTTGTACAGTTTGTGCCATAAAAGCCGATATCACATTCTACATGTAAAAATAAAACACGAATAGAATTCAATTTACAAACCATATACGAGGGTCATTCAAAAAATACGTAGACAATGTCCTCTATCATGATATTATTCTTACAAAATTTAAGATCAACACATTTTCATATGTAAAAACATTTTTGTGTGTAAAGTTTTATTCGATTTGATTAAATGGAACTCGTATTAGAAAATGTTAAAAGCAGCATGTTTTGTCATCACGGAGTACGGTTAACAATACCGTGACGTCAAAATCAACGTCGAGAAAGTTTCTCAAAATTACTAAGCTTTTTTTTTCATTTCATACAAGGTTTGTACATTCTTCTCGATTCATCAAATTGTATCCTTAGCCCTTGACACCTAGTTCGCTAGCAATTGTTTGAATATACCTTAAAGGTAGATTCTCAATATTTTCAATTTTTTATCGCGTAAGTTTTGTTTGCACAAGTTCAGCAAAAGTGAATAGCTCATCACGTTCCATGACGTTACTAACTCATTGACAATCTTTTTAACTATTATTTGTTTCTTCGTAGATCATTCAGGGTCCAATTTGAAGTCTGTAACACTCAAAAAATAGTCATTCCATTGTAAACAAATGCACAGCACATTTTGTATCTGTTTACTGGTTCATAAAGCATTCTCAGAGTTTGTTTTAAAGGGTTTCCCGAATGCAAGACAAAATTTTATCGCTACTCGCTGCTCCGTAACGTCCTTCGACGTCATCGTTTTCTGCTTATTTTCATGAAGTCTATCTGCCTTCAGAAACTGATATCTTTTAAACGAAGCGATGTATCATATTGAATTTTAGCACCTGAAGTTATAAAACGATACTAAATTTAAACAATTCAATTTTATTTTGTTTAAGCGCCATTTATTTGAGGTATGACTCTAGACATTATGAAGTGTAAAATTAGTAAATAGTTCAATTTTGACCCTGCTCCGTGACCCCATTTTTGCTGTATTAGATATTTGATAATTTTGATAATTATCAAGATATTTTCCAATTTTTTTGCTCAAGTCATTTGAATTTGTTGTTAAAATATGTGTACTAAATTTGGTCATAATATGACGTTAAATCATACATAGGACACCGGTTGTTAACCAGAAAATAATAAAGATTTAGCACAAGATGGAACTAATTTCCATTGCGCTTTCGCCTTCTTGGTGTTTTTTTCTTTTATGTAATTTATAATCAAGTAATTATTTTGTTCGTCTAAAAAATGTATGAATAGGGTATTGTTAACCCTATAGAATATAGATATTCTAAAAAAAAAGTCATTAAACTGCTACTCAGTAAGTATAAATTTAAAATGGTTTGGCTGCCAAATATCCAAGAAATAAAAAGAAAAATATTTATATTTGTGTCTACCAAAATAATGTCATTCGTAATAATAAATTTTAGCATTTCAAACAAATAGTTAAACGTCAGAAAAGTGACAACAACATTTTACTGACTTTTTGTTCATTGAAGAAATAAAATGCATTTTAGTGTTAGAGGATTATAGAGAAAATTACATATGTAAATGATTTTATGGGTATTTGATCTTCCAACAATCTATTGGAATTCCCATGGGTACAAATTGCGCTCCGTTATTAGCAGACTTATTTTTATATTCATATGAAGCAGAATTTATGTAAACTCTTTTGCGTGAAAAGAAGAAAACACTTGCTGTGGCCTTCAACTCGACATTTAGATATATCGACGACGTATTGTCAATTAATAATGACAATTTCCATTCCTACGTCGACACGATATATCCTGGTGAGCTTGAGATAAAAGATACCACAGAGTCCAAAACCTCTGCTTCATACTTGGATATTTTACTTGAAAAAGACTCTAATGGTAATCTAACAACCAAGCTATATGATAAACGTGATGACTTTAACATTTCTATCGTCAACTTCCCTTACTTATGCAGCAATATACCTTCATCATCTGCATACGGAGTATTTATATCGCAGTTGATTCGATACGCAAGAGCATGCTCTACGTATGAACAATTTCTTAAACGAGGCAAATTATTGACAAGCAAGTTGATGAAACAAGAATATCAACAGTCTCGTTTAAAGTCATCATTTCGTAAATTCTATGGTCGATACAATGACCTTGTCAGCAAATACAATTTATCATTGAATGAAATGCTGACTGACGTTTTCATACCAATTGTTAGTCCATTATTTATACACTGAATTGACCAAGGATTTTTTCCGTTATTTCCTGATTATGACAACGAGCACACGGCGGGTGTGACCGGTCGGCAGGGGATGCTCACTCCTCCATGGCACCTGATCCCAACTCTGATGTTTCAGAGGTCCGTGTTTGCTCTGCTCTTATTTTGTATATTTGTTTAATGGACGTTGAGATTGAATACTGTTCGTTATTTTCATATCTTTCTTCTATCAAAATACTTATATTATTGCATTAATATAAAAATGATTTCGTTAATATTTTTTAATAACATTTCAAATATTTTTATCTAAACTAACCACTAACGAAACATAAGTTCAGGATAGCTTTTTATTATGGTTAATTAATTTTAAATGAAACTTAAATTTCATTCCGAGTCCAAACAACTTTTATTTCGGTTTGTGTTTTTTAAAAAGATTTTAATTCATTTTTTATCTTGAAATCATTACAAAAAGGTCCTTTCAAATACATGTATAAGATTAGTTTGCATGAAGAGGCTTACCTATGCAATCCAAAGAATATACAAAAAAGTTATTTAATTTTCCGTGGTAAAGCAAATTCCAGATTTTTATCAATGAATGAACTATTTTATGGTTTCAGCTTTTTAAATGAGAAAAACAAAATCAATTCTCTGTAAAAAAAAATTTTTGAACAATTTTGAATAATCTGAAAGGGTTTGATATAAAATAAGTTTTTAATTTATTTTCATGTCACCTATTACCTTTGTATTTCCATGCATGGAATAAAGATCCTTTTGGATTATGACGGTCAACATTGTGCTTGCATACTTTTTCTTTAAGTTCTTTGGACATATCGATAACAATGAGATAAAACGCTCTTTTTGACAAGTAAACTTGGTGGCAGGCATAATAAGCTACTTGTCCTGCAAAGTCAGTCATGCTAATCAACTTTTTCCCATGACTGCTCTCATATTGAATTCCTCTGATAGGCAGCCCATCTTCATTGGTACTGAAATCTGTTTACAAATACATGCACTACAGAAATGATTTCTGATTAAATGAAGAAGACATTAAATTGAATTCATGCATTCTTGGTAGAACAATTGCATATTTATCAAAATAAAATTTTACAGAAAATTAGGGATGTCAACGAGTATCCGCTTTACAGGGTACCCGAGCGAAACGTCCGAGTATCAAATACCAAAATTGGTTACTCGGAGGTATTTATATCTATTATTCTAAAGTACATATATTTATCAAAAACATAAAAAAGAACTCAATTGTACAGTCACACGATAATTGAGTACCGTCGCGCAGATCTGTAAAACACCTGTTATCGCTTATGGTTGTGTATATATAGTAATTAGTGACCAATCACGTGGTACACAGCTTTTCTTACCTATCACGGTCCTTAATCATTAGATGGCTTCAATGATTTGTTTTTCATTGGTGTTCTATTATCTTACATCATTTTAAAATAATTAAGTAAATAATAACGAAATCCGACATGCATAAATATGCTGCATCAACCTTAAAAATGTAAAGACGTATTTTGGTAAAATATGTAATTAAAGATTTAAAAAAAAGTTTAAAGTCAGCTATGAGGAGTAAATGTAGCGTATACGAAGTAACAATAATAATATACGACAAGCGATCCCAACAACGTCTGTTCTTTCTGTTTCGTTAGTGTAGTCATCACGAAGGGGCATGAGGCATGACAGATTGATTAAAGCTCTATCCAAACAAAAACTATCAATCAATTGTAATTATCGGAGCATCAAATTGATGTCCTCTGTAAGTGTGTACATATTTTTTTTATAAAATGAATAAATTAAGTGCAAGAAATTATCTGTTGGACTCGTTATTTTTAAACATGCACTCAAAAGGTAAGAAAAATATTGGTGTTTCACAGAGTTAAAGAAAATTAACAGACTTGTATTTACAAGTTTACCGACTACCCGGGTACGTAATCGGAAAAACGTGCGAGTATAACCGATAATCACATATTGACCGATTTGACATCCCTATAGAAGTTGTATATTTTTTAAATCTAAGTTATGTGAAGAATAAGGGTCACATGTTTAAAGAATTTGGCTTTTGGAATTTAGATTTTCTTGAGTAAATCAGGGTAAAAATATTAGACCGTTAGCTTTCAGTTGAAATTTGAATCATCGTATTCAAACCGCAAAATGGATAAAAGACATTTTTATGGTAGACATTTTTTCGCTATATTTTAATAGAACATTTCGTAAAGAAAAGGAACTATCACCCATTAGCTTGTCGTCTATGATTTCGAACAAATCCTCATGGACCTCCAGGCCAACAGTTGTCTCAGTTTTTTCGAATTCATTATTCCTTTTTACCCTCTTTAGGTTTTCAAGGAGAGTTGTTTTTCCAGCGCCAGCGCATCCAACGATCATTCCTCTAGCGCGGAACATTTCTACTCTTCCTTCCTGGAGATTTCAACAAATCGTTTTCTAGCACTGAGATCCCACGAGAAAATTTCCTCAGGTATATTCACTAAAAGGACATCAAGACATATCTACATGATTAAACATATACTAGTGCAATAAAAAATAAAATCAAAAGCATGAAAACACTTTTTGAAGAAAACATTCTGATATGTTGTAGATTTCAGAATCTTCCAAGAGTAGTCAGTAACACGTATCTATAAAAAGACATAAAATAAGAGTTTCCCAATATACAATAAAGTTAACAAAATAAATTGAAATTTAATAACAATTACGGTAGCTATATATTGCAACAACCATGCATGTATTGATAGTAGCTGATGTAAGGAAAAAACTTAATAAGGATCGTGAGCATAACTACCTCTGGCCATCAAGAGCGAGAAGAGAAATACAGAAAGATAAAATTCAAATAAAAATTCGTCTGAAAAAAATCAATTCTCGCAAAAATCCAATTAATTATCCCAAAACTTTCATCTGGTGACCCAAGGCATTTTATAAAGAATTTTATTACGGATCACTTCGCACTTGCTGTTTAAAAATATCAGTATTTTTCATATCTTTCTGAACTTTATATCGAGTCTGAGCATTAATCTGAAAGATATATGTAAACTTGAACAAATAATAATAATTGGTTTTTTTATTAATAATAAATTTGATGTTAAATAGGTATTAACAAATCTGAACAAACCTATCGTTATTTCTCCAATCAATAACTTTATTACAACTGCTAATTTTTCTGTTTTTCTTTAATTTGTTTTATATTCATTAAATATTAAATAAATATTTCTTATAATTGCCAGTGTTTTTAAAATCGGTTGATGCAATCTTAGAATGTTTGTTTTAATTGCAATTCTTTTTTTATTATAATATTTGCATTAAGTTGACTTGGATTCAACAAATTAAGCATCCAATATATCTTAAATTTTAAGATATGATATCTTAAACTTTCAACTCTCATTTGGCAAGGAAATAATTATAAATTTTAGATTAAAATTTGATCATTTTATTTCATATGGCAAGCTTTTTCTAAAGGAAATCAAAATAGGGTGAAAATTGCCACGACCACCAAGCCCTTTTAAGTAAAATCAGTTCAAAAAAAGAGAGCGTGGGGGATATTATATTTAATATGTACTTACGGCGTTTCCTTATATTACTATGATGCTCTTTCTCTGACATGAAACAATGTACTAAAGATATCCACCTGTAAATTGTCTATGAAGAGATCGTACATCTCCTTTGGTTTGTCGGGTATATACAAACATTTCTCATTTGCACTCCTTTCATAATTCCAGGACCTGCAGTACTCTGATACCACATGTTTGGATGCCATCTTCAGGAAAAACTCCAGATCGCTTTCCTCAACTAAACATTCCGTCACAAAAGCGTACATAACGTCTTGCCTGATTTCCACCGATTTAAACTTATAACAACTTTTCTGTTTGTTGACCACTCCCTTCAGCTCAGCTGGCACCTTAATTTCGTTGCATAATGCCAGATCTTTGAAATACCTTCCTCTGACCGTTTTGCACAAATTTTTATGACTTTGTTCATTGATGTTGAGTGCATACTTATCCAAGAATAAAAGGCAGTAGAGGAGACATCTTGAGTCAGATGAGTACTTGGGGATTGACCTGTAATTGAAGTTTGCAGTTGTCTTTTTATGACAGTATTCTCGAAAATCAGTTAAAAATCTTTATGATAAAGTGATAAAAGCACACCTCTCCAAAAAGGAGATCCGACCTAACCGATACAATATTTTAATTGTTTGATAAAACAGAGACTGTTACAGATAGTTTACTGTATGTCTGCTAGAATTAAAGGGTAAAAAATCGTAAAGTCTGTGATTTTTGTTCTCGAATGCGATCTTTTACCCCCGCTTGAAAAGCGGGAGGGTATATAGTAATCGGTATGTCCGTCCGTCTGTTACAACCGTTCACGGTAGCTCAGTCGGTAGAGCGCTCGCTCCGTGATCGGGAGGTCGTGAGTTCGCATCTCGGCCGCGACCGCCTAGTCGTTAAAATGGGTAGCAACTGTTCCTTCGCAATGCGCTCGGCACTTTGAAGTGAAAGTTGCGGGTCCTTCGGATGAGACCTTAAAAACTGAGGCCATGTTTCAGCGGCAGGCGTTGGCACGATAAAGATCCCTCACTGCTCAATGGCCCTGAGTGCCGAGTAAAGGTCAAAATTTGAAGCCCTTCACCGGCATACGGTGACGTCTCCATATGCGTGAAAAATTCTCGAGATGGACAATATACAATCAATCAATCTGTCTGTTACCCTTGCGTGTATCCATCTCTTACCCGGAACTCCTTTTATACCACTGAATAAGATCTTCATTACATTTTAGCATTGTGCACCTCTAATTTTAATTTTTAATCTGAAACATATTTTGTTTTTACCATAAAAAACATGGACACTGCCATTATATTTATATTGGAGACAGAGGGTATTATTTAGTGAGCTCCTTGCTCACAGTACCTCTAGTTTTATATTATTTCTTGTTAAATTTCTACTTTTGTAAAATCTCATTCCATGTATAAATTAATAGATCCAATACTTGAAGGACATTTATGATATCTTATGAAACTATACACATCCCCTGAATATAAAATATTCAGGACAACAAACCTTAGCTTTAGTTTGTTCCTTTTTTTTCTTTTTAAAACATAAGAATTTTTATCACATGAGAACTCTTCGAAACTACTTGAAAAATAAAAATTTTATTTCTAATTTTTTTTTGAAGATTCTAAGATCTTAAATTGAAAATTATCAGCAAAAACAATTCATGATAAAGAATTCGAACCTTAACATTGCAAATAACATAAAGTCACTCAAAGAAGATGGGCGAACAAGGCGGGCAGAATGCCTATAGCGTCAGATATTAAGAAATCATATCAAATATGTGAATTGATTATCTAAATTAACGTCTAATTATTGAAATTTTAGAAATTATGAGAAAAAATAACTTTTCTGAGAGAAAAAAAATCTCGTAAAAAATTTTCTTTCATAAAATTATTAGATGGTATTCGTTGGATTCGAACCCTAACAATAAAAATCCGACGTATCAATAGCATACGGCTTTGAGACTAACGCGTTAACCACTATGCTACACCGCTCATGATGATTTTTTGGCATTTAAATCATGTTAGTGATATGACCCCCGACTTAATGGACTTGAAGTATTTCCCGGAAATATGCGAATGTTGTGTCATAAAAGTGTACTTTTAAGGTATAGTGGGTCTTCTCTCCATGTTTTTGAAAACCAAAAAATGTGTATTTTATTGCCAACTTTTAGGATCATCTTTCAAAAAAATGGAGAGAAGACCCACCCATATTGAAAAATTTTGTTTAAGTATGAGAAAATGATCGTTTTTTGTTCTTTTTAGTGTGTGTAAGCTTTTTCATAGGCAAATATTTTTAGTCTTTGTGAGATTTTTTTAAATTGTAGAGATTTTACATAAAAGCGACATCAATCAACCAAACTTGTAAGAGATTTATTAGGATCCGACACTCCAAACCACACTTCTAGTAGATATGATTTTTTGCATAGAGCAGATTAATATTTGATTTGAATTATGCAAGTTGTTGTAGAGTGTTTCGGCTATTAAGAAGCCTCATCAGGGGTCACGGACATAAATCATGGTGTTTGTTTTAGGTGAGACCGGATTATCTCGTCACCTGTATTCTTATGTTTGCTGTAAGCTATAATTGGTTGAGAATGAAATAAAGTTTTGCATTCTGGATTTCTAAGAATGGTGTTCCAATACTTCAGAATTCGTTTTTTCAGTCCTTTAATGCAAGGGTTAAATTTAGTAACCAATACTGTAGGGTTAAGTAATGACTGTTCCTTATTGCTTTTGATGATGAGTTTTGATCGGTTTGTTTTGATCGTTTCTTCGATAGTAGGATCAATTTCCGGGGTAGAGTAGCCTCGCTTTGAAATCATTTAGTGTTGCATGTAATATCTCAGGGTCAGTAGTATTTCTTGCATGTCTAATGCACTCTCCTTTAATGAATCCTTTAAAAACAGCTGGGCTGTGAGCACTCTGTCTGTGTAAATATTGAAAGTTATTTGTTGGTTTGATAAACGACTTGATATCAAGTTTGTTAAGGGTTTGAAATTTCGGTCCCTTGTAAACTGTAGTATCAAGAAAGTTCACAGCAGATGGAGAAATTTCAAATGTAAATCTTAGATGCTTGTGGCAGTGATTGCCAATATTGAAGAATTCTTCTATCTCTGGTTGTGTTCCACTGAATATTATGAAACCGTCATCACGGTATCTGCCGTGGAAGACGATATTACTGGCATGGCGAAATTGTGCCATTATATGCTTTGTAATTTGATACATTCTGATGTCACAAATCTCTGGACTGAGGATTGCCCCCATACTTGCTCCTATTATTTGTTTGTAATATTTTCCATCAAATTCAAAGTAATTGTTTTCCAAGACGCATTTCAGTAAGAAGTTTAGATCCTTCAAAGTTAGGATATGGAATGTCTAATTGCATTTTATTGGCCTGTGTGTAATCCTCATTTACTGATGAGAGAAGTTGGTTACAAATTCTGAAATATTGGAACACCATTCTTAGAAATCCAGAATGCAAAACTTTATTTCATTCTCTACCAATTATAGCTTACAGCAAACACAAGAATATAGGTGAAGAGATAATCCGGTCTCACCTAAAACAAACACCATGATTTATGTCCGTGACCCCTGATGAGGCTTCTTAATAGCCGAAACACTCTACAACAACTTGCATAATTCAAATCAAATATTAATCTGCTCTATGCGAAAACATATCTATTAAAAGTGTTGTTTGGAGTGTCGGGTCCTAATAAATCTCTTACAAGTTTGGTTGATTGATGTCGCTAACTTTCACATTCTCACGTTTCGGAATGGAAGCTCAACAGTCGAGCAGTCCTACCTCAGAGGACCGAGAGGAGACACATATTCCTCGGATGTTCATGGCCGTTGCCT